GGGGGGAGGGTCCCGGGGGGGGGAAATCCGGGGAGCCGTTGGCGGCTGTGTCAGGCTGCACTTTGGCCATAGGTTTGAACAGGCATGGTTGCTTGATTTGGGCGCATGCGAGGCGGCTTTGATTGGGCACGCGCGTTGTCAAAGTGTGCGTCTGCATTTTTTCGTGCTACCCCCAACCTTGTGCGACTGACGCCCTGCCTGCCGCCCATCGACGCCGCCCAACCCCCAGTTCCGCTTCGTCATCGACGTCAACAAGTCCCTCGCAGTGTGAAGTTCGTCCCTGCCCACGCCGCTGGTAACGAGTTTGAATAGTAAGGGTGCCTAGACACAAAGGGTACCGGCTCCATCGGTCAAATTTTCTGAACGAAGCGCGTAATCTAGTGGGGACGACACCTTGACACCCTGCAGGTGCCCATTTCTTTGGCACACGTCCTGTTGTTGTTGTTTTTGCATCATCCCAGGCCTGTCGCTGCATGAACAGGAGCACCACCAGCGCTCACTGGAACACCGTCCAATGACTGGTGCAACCCTGGACCAGCTCGGTGATTACAGGCTGGGGGTTTGCCGTTGCACAGATCCCACTACACACGTGGGGGGTGCCTGGTCTTCCTGCGTGTTTGATCCTATCATTGCCCCTCTGCGTTGCTGCACTTGATCTGAGCAGCTGCCTAGCTTCCAGCTGCCTGGGCGATGGTTTCATCCGCCGCATCTTGCGCGGGACCCTGCTGGGCGGCTGCCAGCCTTCGCCACACGAGCCAAATGTTGGCGCCTCGTATTACAAACAAGTGGCTATCGTTCAATCCAAGCGCTTGCCTTTTTGGGACAGTGCTGTCGGCCTCGCTGGGGGTGACGGATCTGCTGAATTTCTGATGAGCACTTGGCCTCTTGGCCCTTCCTTGTCCCGCCGCGTACGTCATGATCGTTCTCATGTGCTTTTTTCTGTCAAATGTTGATTTGTGGCGCCCATGCAGTGAGTAAATTTGTTGCATGGCCGGTCGCATGGGTGGGGAGTTGTGGCCTGGCAGATACTCGGCTGCGTGTTTCAGGTGCGTGACCCTGTCAGATGATGTACCTGGCCAGCCCCTGGGACATACTGAGCTAGGTATGTATCTCAGCACATAATTATCACCCCAGTGTGGAGTGCACTCACCAGGCGTATGCGTGAGCGAGCGAGCAGCAAATGATGCGATTGCTGAAGGCAGGGTGTCTCAATGTCAGTCGGTGCGCTTGTGTGCTCATTTGCGCGCTTATGCAGGTGTGCGCATCAAATGCTCTACGTCTGCCATTATCTGTAACACAGCAGCAGTCCTTATCTGCCAGAAGCGTCATTGTGTGGATGGTGCGCACGAGCTGTCCTAAAGTGTGGCGGACTCGCAGTCAGCGACCTGCCTCAGGAAAAGAATTGGTAGCCTTACAAAACTGATTTGCGACCTCACCCGTACAAATGGCTGTTCAGAGCCATAAAATGAATGGCAGGGGAATACGTGCAAATCAGTTGTTTAGGCATGGGGTGGTGAAAAATTGGAATACAGTCTGATGCATGGCAATCTTGCACCCAGCGAGGGGGAAGTTGACCCTACAATCGCGTGTGCACTGCTTGTTCCTGTCCCCTTGTGAGACCCATGTTCAGTCATGACAGCTGTCCCCTTGTGAGACCCATGTTCAGTCATGACAGCAAGCATTGAAAGTTCAAGATGGCAGGCATTGCAAACCGGTTCAGTGTCAGTGACCGATGCAAAGGCAAGTGCCAGCACGCCGCATGCGGGATACTGCCGCGCAGTCCACGAAGGTGCCAAGCTGTGACAGTGTGGCCAAGGCCGGGCATGGGGGCGTTCAGGTGCACGTCTTGTGCCCCTCTATTGTGCCCCTTGCTCACGCCCCGCGACAGTGCTGTACCCTCTATGCGACCAGGGACTTGTTGATGTCGATGACAAAGCGGAACTAAGGAGAGAGGTGTGGAGAGATTGAGGGAAGGGTTGGCAACAATCAAGGAAACACCCGTTGCGCCTTGGATACATGTGCAGGGGGCAGGGACTTTTGTGTGCCGGTCGCCGGCACCACGCCACACAGGACCACAATGTGGTGTTGAGGTGAGGCCGGCGGGCACACAGCAGGTGCATCTGAGGGCACACACCGATCGACGGCACGCACTCGCACCCCCTGTTGCAGGCACCCCCTCAGAGAGGCAGCGCCCCGGCGCTGGGCGCACGTCATCGGGCTGCACTGGGCCAGCTGCACTCAACCCCCTGCAACAGCTTCACCCACGCGACGCTGCACCCCCTCTCCCCTTGTCCCCCCCCCACCTTGACGTCGCCCTTCTCCATCCTCGTGTACGCCTCGTTGGCGTATGAGATGTCGATAACCTTGGAGCGGTTGGAGGTGGTTGGAGGAGGAGATATTGCTGGTTGGGGTGGTTGTTGGGGCTTGCAGGTGGTTGGCGTGGTTGGGGCCGGTGCGACATTGGTGAACATTGGGACGGGGTGGGAGGCCGGCTGGACAGGGAGCGATGCGGTTTGCCGGGCCAACAACGTGCAAAGCTGTTGCGTTCCAAGGGAAAGGGCAACACGAGCACCAGCCACCGCAGCGCACACAACAGCAGCACGCGGCTCAATGCCAACAGCACCGCCGCAGTCTATCGAGCTGCCACGCGCGCCCAAAGGCCCGCGCCTGCAAAAAATGGCGGCTAGCTCCGCCCCATTGCGGGCTGGGTCTAGTTGGGGTTGAGCACCCAGCGCCCTGATCGAGTGTTGGGCAACCGCGCACCTCCACGTCGGACACGATGTTCTTCTCCCCGCAGAAGTCCAGCATCTCCTGGGTGTCGTCAGGGGTGCCCACCAGACTGCTGCACAGGGTCAGAGACCTGCAGAGCGGTAGGCATGACAGGCGGGCGCAGCGATTTGGCTTAGACAGCTGGCGGGATGGGACCACCCCCGTGCGTCAGTCAAGGGTGTCAATGTGTGGAGCGAGCGCGCGGGCTGCAGGCGCGTGTGCCTTCCCAGGTCAGGCTGTCACAACGAACAAGCAGTGCGTCTGGGTACTGAGCCTGGTATTGTGGACAAGTAATTAGCAGTCGGACGCAAGTTCATTGGCAGGATTGCTCACTTGAACAGCACGGGGAACCAGGGGAAAGATGCGTCGCCGGGAGGGGCCCCCACGACGCACATCTTGCCCTGGGGTGAGGGCGCGAGGCAGCAGCAGGGAGGATGGGAGGGGACGACAGGGCTCAAGGGTCGCCAGCAGGCGCGCGCAGCCGGTCACCCACTAGTGTGTCAACCACTCCTGGCGGCGTCCTATGCAGGTAGTGGCTGTCCCACCAGAGTGGGGGGGTGGTGGGGTCTGGTAGTGCCGTGCCAAAGCCCGGCACTCACCTTGGGCTTGAGCATGTTGAAGAGCGGCAGGAAGTCGTGCTTGGCGGCCACGGTGTCGATGATGCCGTCCAGCTGGTTGGCATTGGCCTTGATGGCCTCCTCGTCGTTGGTGGGGATCACGGCCTGCAGGGGGGGGGAGAGGGGTGAACAATGTTTGGGTCGAGAACTGGAACAGACAAGCGACTTGCCGCGCAAGTGCGCCTTGTTCAAACCTCAGCAACAAGCTCCCACCCATGCAGAGCCATGGAGCTGTCAACCGCAAGCACCAGAAGACGTGTTCCAAGGCCCCTCTCCATGCACTTGGTCCCTGGCAGCGCGTGCGCACCCACCTTGGCGCCCATAGCCAGGGCCTCAGCCTCCTTGGCCAGGCTGTTGTGGGGAAGGGGCGTGTGGCGTGTGTGATTGTGTGTGTGAGCGTGTGGGCCGGGGGGGGGGGGAGGGAGCGGTGGCGGTGGAGACATATATGCATGCATGCATACGTGCACACGTGCATGCACGCGCACACACCCTCGTGCCATTCCCCACCTGCGTGAGATGACGTAAACCTCGCAGCCAAAGGCCACACCAAACTTCACAGCCATGTGGCCCTGGGATTGGGGGAGTTGCAGGGGGGGCCACATGCGGGAACGGGGGTGAACGAGGTCGGCAGCGGCCGCGCTCTGATGGGCGCTATGTGGCCGCCGTGGGCGTGGGCGTCACGGCCGTCCACTCCCCTCAGTATATGTGTGGGCTGTCAGGGGCACTGACTGGCCCCGCTAACTGCGACCGCCTGGATTGCTTGCTGGGCGGGCTGGCTGGAGGTTCCACCACGCTCCACACACACACATCCACACTTTTCGCAACTAACACTCACCAGGCCGCCCAGGCCGACCACGCCGATCTTGAGGCCCGGCTTGTCCAGGCCGTACAGCTTGTAGGGGGAGTACACGGTGATGCCTTAAGGGGGGGCGTGTGTGGGGTTGCGCGAGTTGCGCGAGTGACGACGTCTGTGTGCGCATGCGTGCGCATGTGTGCGTGCTGACATTAATCGTTGTGCATGTGCATGCGTGTTAGTGTGCGTATGTGTGTGTGTGTGTGTGTGTGTGTGCGTGTGTCTCATCTCACACTGCATCCCCTCCAACCCTGGCCGACCCATTCCCTGCACTCACCCGCGCAGAGCAGGGGCGCCACGCCGGCCAGGTCCAGGTTGTCTGGCACCTTGAAGGTGTAGTGCTCCCCGCTGATGATGTGGGACGAGTAGCCGCCCTGGGACTGGAGGCCGTCCTTGTGCTTGGCGTTGTAGGTGAACACGCACTGCGGCGGCAATTGGCGAGCACAAGGGGTGCGATCTACTGACGCCCCAGATCAAGGCGAGCATCATGTTGGGCGCCCTCACCCAGCGCATGTGGCAGCATGCAGCCCTACCTCAGCTGGTTGCACATGGTAGCATGCACATGGCAGCATGCATGCATGCATGCATGCTTGCTGCCATGCACAGGTACACATGTAACAGCATGCACGCCAGCATGTACATGGCAGCGAGCTCGTGGCGGCATGCCCATGGCAGCATGCAGCCCCATAGCGCCAAGACCAGCCCTTGGAGGGCCACGCCACGTGACCAGAGGCAGCATGCCGGCCCCGCTCTCGGGCCAGCCCCAGCCTGCGTTCTGCCGTGCAACACCCTTGGCAGCAACCACCCACCTCAGTGCAGAACTGGTCGTCGCCCGCCTGGCACTCGCGGCAGTTGCGGCAGCTGTCGACGTAGGTGCCCACGCCGGCGCGGTCCCCGACCTTGAACTTGGTCACCTGTGGGTGTGGGAGTGGCGGCGGCGGGATAGACTAAAAATACGTGCGGAAGGTTGGATGCCAAGCGGAAATCGGTTGAGGCAAAGGGCTCAGCCGGACAGCTTGTAAGGTGTAAGCAAAGCGACCAGGCGCAACTCAGCGCGGCCATGCAGCCGCCTGGCAGGTGATTGTCTCGCCCTGAAACAACTGTTGTGTCTCCTGAGCCGCACCTCTGAGCCGACCGCCGCCACGATGCCGACGATCTCGTGGCTGCATGCGGAGGGTTCAGGGTACGCGGCAGATAAGGTCAGTCGCCAGCCACTCTTGTCCATGCATCGTTCAGCAGCCGCAGAAGGCAACCCAGCTGCTCAGCGCCATGCTCTCTCGGCCGCGCGACAAGCCATGACAGGGCCACAGGCTCGAAGGTTGTGTGCCACTCTCACCCAGGAACCAGGGGGTAGCTGCGCAACAGTTGAAAGGGCGACAGCATACGTGGAAAGTAGCAGGTGTGAGGGGGGTGGGAGCCGGTGGAACCGAAGGATCTCTGATGCACCCCGGATTTTGTGTTTGAAACTGACTGACGGTGCTGTGGCACCTCGCACATGCTGTCCAACCCTAAGTGCAGAGCAGGGTTGCGGGCCAGCCGCGGCAACACCCCCACTCACAGCGCAGGCCCCCAATCGCCGTTGATGGTGTGCAGGTCGCTATGGCACATGCCTGCAGGGGTGTACAGCAGGTTGACAAGTCATTTAGGGCCATCACACAACTCCATGAGTCGCGGCAGGACAGGTCAACCACATGTCCTCGACATGCCAGGCTGATGCCCCCAACCCTCAACCCACCCGCATGGGTGATCTTAAGGAACAAGTCCTTGGGCCCCAGCTCCCTCCGCTTGAACTTGTACGGCGACAGCTGGGCGCTGGTGTCGCGCGCCGCCCAGCCCAGGCAGTTGGCGCCCTCCTCGCCCGCAGTGTCGGCCAGCTGGGAGGCCTTGTTGAAAGCCTTGGCAAAGTCGGCAAACTCAACCTCATCTGGAAGCGGCAATGTGAGAAGAAGTGGATGGTTGATGTGAGGGGATCGGCAAGCCAGCTTCCCATGGCCCTCGGCTGCAGCAGGGATGATGCGCCGCCTCGCTGGGTCGGGGATGACACCCGCGGCCCAATGTGCCACGCACCGCCCAGGGCGGCCACCAGGGTTTCGTCGCCGTAGCTCTGGGATGCCTTCAGCAGCACCTGCAAGACCGCAACAGGGGGGCACACGGCGGTTTGGTGCCGCCGCCATGGGTGGCTGATTCGTGGTGTGACAGCGCCTTGGCGCGCGTGGCTGGGGCCTCACCTCGCGCGGTGCCTCGCCATCCTTGGCGAGGTTGACGAGGATGCTGAACTCGCGAGGATGCTTGGCTGCCTCTGCCGCAGTCGCGGTCTTGATGCGGGGCATATTGCTATCGGCTGTCCTGTGAACGTCGAGATCACAGCGAAGAGCGTTTCACGGAGATCGAGCACAGGCTATTGTACTATATATAACATGCACTATGCGGATGCAGAAACAAATATTTAAGGCGCCAACAACTAGCCGCAATGAGGATCGGATTACGGCGGTCGTCCACACCACTTGATTAGGTCAACAGCATCCCAGCGCGCCACAACGACCAAATCATTCAATTGAGATACTCTGGATCTATTCCCTGGCATTGACAGGTGGCGTGCGCAGCGGGTTGGTGAGTCATCATGCACCGAGGCCCAAAATCACAGTATGGAAAAGAGGTTTCTGGAATATCATGCCAGAAAATATCATAATTGTGTTATAAGGCTGTCTGCGTCATAGAGCGCGCTCTTTGATGCAGGCTCGTGGCCTTGTTTGACCTGGTCAACATGGGTCCCCAACCGGCCAAGGGCACGTGTCTACAATGAAACCATCAATGTCATTTTTGTGATGTTGTAACTAAATCCCCTAAATCATTCGGTTCCCGGGGGGGGGGAGGGAGATACGATGATCCGGGTAGGATGATGGGCACGTGTTGGGGCCGATGAGCCGAGGGCCTGGGGTCAGTTGTCGACAGCAAGATTGCCACACGACAGCACGGCTTGCGAGCAGCGAGATGGTGATCAGCATAGTTCTGTTAGACTATGCAGGATCAAAAAAGGGGCCACAAATGTGCTGTGCGGGACAGTGTGGCAACCCTGCTGCACAGCGCCATGATGCTTTGCCACAAATGCACTTTCGGGGACCAACCTCTGAGATTCCCATGGGCCGGCGCAACTTCCTTCCTTCCTTCGTGCAGGATCTATCGGCGTTGAGGCCCAGCAGCTGCGTGGCAAGAGAATGAACAGGGAGCCTGTATCCACCACTGCTCGTACTTGGTATGAAGCTACAGTAGCTCTGATCCTGTGTGCAGCTGCCAAGGTTGCTGCGTTAGGCTGCGGCACCGCCTTGTGTCAGGGGACCCGGTGCAGACCGTGTGCATGCTCAGGATGTAAAACAGGTCTGTGAGGTACACGGTCTGCCAGGTATGCAAAGCCGGCGCAGGCCTTTGGATTATGAGCCCCGCGAGCAATTGCTTCAAGGGAAGAGGCTGCCTGGAGGGGAGGTTGGGGGAGGCAGCTGAGTTGGCTGCCAACTCTGTCGACATAACTTCTGCACACTTGAGACATTCCAAGATCTTGGAAGAACAAAACGTTGCATGAACCACTTTGGTGGATTCCAGCACGATTAAAGGTCGTGGTCAAAAAGTGTGATCCCGCCGGTCCCAAGCTGCACACCAGCGTCAAGACACAGCAGAGAGCCGCTCCTCCGCTGCTTTCCGTCCCCTGTGCCGCAGCCACGCGGTCATGAACGGCTCCAAGCCGCCGTCAAGCACCGCGCCGACGTCGGCGGTCTCATGGCCGGTTCGGGTGTCCTTGGCCAGCCTGGTGACGACAAGGGAGCAGGGGTCAGCGGTTATGAAAGAAATTCCATGATCAAAAAGAAGACGGCGGCAGCTGGGGATGACTCACATGTTGTGAGCAAAGCTGTTGCCGGCGTGTCCACGCTCCTGAGCTGCGCCTCAGCAAACGACGAACGCATCCGCACGCCCGGACCACCGACGTCCGGTGCCATCTCCGCACCCTCGCCCCGCCCTGTTTTTCGCGCGCCAAGCCTCACTTGTATGGGTGCAGCACGTAGTTGCGTATCTGCTGCCCCCACTCCGCCTTGACTATGTCCCCCTTGAGCTCCGCCAGCGCAGCGGCCCGCTGCTCCTCCAGCACAACCAGCAGCTTGGCGCGCAGCCGCTGCAGCGCGATGGCGCGGTTCGCGAGCTGCGTGCGCTCCTGGGTCACGCGGACGGTCAGGCCTTTGGGCGCGGCGCGGGGAGGGGCGGTATTGGTGGGGGGTGAATCTCTGGTGCGTGGCCTGAGGGGAGGAGGTGACACATTTTGGGGAGGCAGCAGCTGCCTGGAGGGCAGCGACATGGTCTGATCGCCCTCCACCAAGATGTCACCTGCGGTGACCGCCCAGCCCTGTCGCCAGGCCCACATCCTCTGGCAGGCCTACGAATCCATAACCAGACACCGCACCCACCTCGCCCTACCCACCGCACTGCTCCCCACCCACACACCCCACACC